ATGGAGTTCAAGAAAACTTGACTGGTCCACAATAACTTAGCTATTAAGAGTTCAATTTAGAGTTTGGGATACAACTATCAATCTGATTAGAACTTGTTTATATTTCCAGCTAACATGAGAATTCAACTGAGAGAACTTTAATAGCATTGTTCTTTCACATAGCATTTAAACTCTCTGCTCAAAAGGCTACCAAAATATCTTTTAGATTAACTTTTGGTAAAGTTAATCATATATTTTCAATTCTTATAGGACTTTCCAAATACACAGATCTTTATTTTTCTAATTATGAATCAAGCCCAGGTGGTAAGACATGAAAATCTTGCAAATATATTGAAAGTCGGGACTTAATCATCTGTGTACTGTGAACTATTCCAACATCAAGTATATTTACACCCACAGTAGCTAATCTTATGTAATTATACTTGAGTGTTTTATAACTGAAAAAATTATGTTCCTTTTTTCCCAGTAAATGAGTGTGAACTTATAAAAATTTCTTGTTTATGTGTTTCTTTTTTGTATATAATACTGTAATAATTTTAGAATTCAATTGTCTACAAAATACCTCCAAAGTTACAGTTAAAAAGAATATTCTGATGTTCTATTACACAGTAGGGTGACTATAGTTAAAAATAATGTATTTTTTTCTTTTTTTAAGTTTTTGTTAGAAAGTCCCTATGCTTCCCAGGAGACAGAGAGAGAAAGTAATAAATGACTCCCCCCCACATTGGGGGAGGGGAATAGTCATGTTGCCATTCTTTCTCCTCTTGGGATTTTGGATATGCACACACATACTGGAATGATTCTCAAGCCAACGGGTCTGGGGCTCAAACTACACAACCAACTATGTGGAATTTAGCCACCTTAATAACCATGCCACCATGCTCTGTATTGTATATTTCAAAATAGCTAGAGAGGGGATTTTGAATGTTCTTACTGCTGAGGGTAAGATAAGTTTTAAGGTAATAGATTTGCTAAATATGCTGATTTGAATATTATAAAATGTATACATGTATTTAAACATTGGGACCAGCAGGTGATGTTGTGGTTAAGGATGGTGAACTCCCACATGGCCAACCACGGTTCAAGTTCCAGAACTAGTGGCTTGCTTTCTCATTTTCTCTCTCTCTGTCCCTCTTTGGTCAAATTAAAATAAATAAATGAATAAATAAATTTAAATACAGTAATTTTTTTAAAAAAAATCACCATATAGCACATAAATATGCACAATTATGTCCAAATTAAAATAAAAATACCCCCAAAAGACCACTTACAAAATAGAGATGTATAATAACTAGAAAAAGTTATTATGAAATACAGATGTAAAAACTCTGTACCTATAGTATGATCTCAAAAACATAAAACTCTTGGCTTGCCTCCATGGCCTGGTGGTTAAGAAAGCCAGGTCATGGGGCCAGCAGGTGGTGTGGTGGTTAAGAGTGTTGGATTCCCACATGGCTGACCATGGTTTGAGTCTCAGATCTGGTGGCTTGTTTTCTCTCTTTCTCTCTCTCTGTCTCTGTCTTTCTCTGGTCAAATCAAAAAACAAAGTAATACTAATAAATCAAGTTAAATAAAAATAATTTTTAAAAAAGTCAGATCGCACATGCTAATTATATAGTTCCAGTTCCAGAATTAGCAGCTTGAGAAACACACCAGGGACGTGTTGAGTATGCCCACATCTGAAAAGGAGGGTAAGACAGAGAAGCAATTGCAGTGAAACCATTTCTCACAAAGGGGTGCTTTTTCTTCTGTCTCTTTGGTAAGCACACAAGCTGTCTAGCAAAACAAACAGACGTAAAATATCAATAAAAATGCATAGATACAAGATGTATCAGAATATTAACAGTATGAGATGATATTCTCCACTAATCTGTTTTTCAGATATTTTATAATGATCATGTATTTCATAGCATCAATAAAAGCCTTATATGTTAAAGATTTTTTTAAAAACTAAAAAGCAAAAGCTTATGAAAATCTGATTGCTTTCTTTTATAAATAATTCACTGGTCAGCTTTATTTTTTATTATTGTTTAATTTGGCCAGAGAGAGACAGAGAGGCAGTGAGAAACCAAGCCATCTCATCCGGCACTCAAACTGTATCAACCATGTGGGAGTCCAGCACCCTAACCACCATACCATCTGCCAGTTCGAAAATCTAATTTTCTAATTATTCATTTCTCTCCTGAAGTGAACAAAATTCATTAGGATATTATTTGAGCTATACAAATAGCTCATAAGTCTCACTGGATATTTCTACAAATGGTTGTTATAAATAACTATGCATACGCCCCCTTTGGTAGTCCATGATAAATAACTGAATGTTCTCATCGAGTTCCAAATGAACAGGAATGCTGAATGTCAGCTGCTTCAATGTTAATGTAATACCTGGCATTAAGAAATATTCTCCCCATATGTTTTCCTTGTCCTTCCCAGCTTCCTGTGCATCTATTTGAATGATGAAGAAAGTTTCTGGATCTCATTCAACATGAATCCAGCTGGAACTATTTTCAAACTAATATGCAGCTGATATGAATATTAAATTTACAATTTCTTATAAAGGACTTTGCTTATCATATATTACAGGTAGCTTGGTTTTATAAGTTGCTGTCTCTGTTCAATTTTGCCATTTAAAACTGGTCTTTCAGATACAATAATGATTTATTCTTAACAACATTAAAGAGATTTTTCCATCATAACTAAACTGAATACTGGAGACATGAGATAAAGTTAAACTGGCTGCTGATCTGCAATTATGTCATGATGTATGTTGGACATCTATTTTTTGAAATATGGTTGTCCCAACTAGCCAAATCTGTGGTTCTAAGTGCCCCAAGTATGAGAGATGAGTTCCCTCCAGGGACTGCCCCAAACCAGCCAAGATGGGGCTGGTTGGGATTCCAAAGATAGAAGCAATAAGCACTGGGACAATAAACCCAAAACCTTTATTAGAGGAATGTACTGAGTGCGATGGTCAACAGTGAGAATGGGGATGTTCTTCATGGCATGCCTACACTGGTATGAAGTCCACATGGGGTTTAAGTGCTGACTCAAGCCCAGGCTAGTTTCTATGTGCCTATTAGCAAGATGTTTGATTTTTCTGTATTCTGGAGAGCAACCTGAGCAAGTTAACATGTGCCTGGGAATGTTCAAATTCCCACCTTGGGTTCAAGCCTACAGAGGAAAAGATGCAGTTGGCCAGGTCACAGAGCAGTGATGCCTTGGCGTTTTTCAGTAAGGACAAAGAAATAGTCTGTGTGTGGGTGGAGAGAGTTAATGGGCAAACCTATAATGCTAATTTGAAATATATTTATAAACATCAACCTCTCATGAGGCAAGGCCAAGATAAAAATGGACAACTGTTTAAAAAAGCTTTATAGTTGTCTTAGGGACTTTCTCCCTAAGCTGTCTCTGTCAAGCTACCATGTTGTAAGCCCTCCTAATAGAGAGGCTCATGGGCAAGAAACTAGAAGATGCTTCCACCCAACATAAAGCTTCGAGACCCTCAGTTCAACCTGCTAGCAACTACATAAACTGGAAACACATCTTACCCACCTGAGCCTTCAGAAGGGACTCTCAACCTGACCAATGATTTGCAGCCAGAAGCAGAGAACCAGGTAAGCCATGCCTGAATTCCTGACCCACAAAAACTGAGATGAGAAATGTGTGTTAAGTCACTAAATTTATGATAATGTCATGTAGCAATAGATACCTAATGTATTTGGAGTTCTTAAATATAATTTTGTTATTTACGCTTAGTTCTCAAATTTAATTTAGCTCCTTTGCAAATCTGCAGTGCAGTGACTTTTTTTTTAAAGATCTACTTGTAAGGTACCAAATTTTACTAAGTCAACTTTACTAGTTATCCTTATTTTTGGCTCCCCTAGCCTAAGACTAAATTTTACACTGTTATTTCATTTATTGACTAAAATTTGCAACGTAAAATGACCTAACATTGCATTTTTTTGGCCTCAAAATGTTTGAAATTAATATTGCCAAACTTGCTTTGCATTTACTTTTCCCTGATATGACTCTGTGTACTCATTATATTTATTCATTTCAACTCTCCATTGGTTCCTATCACTAAATCATTTGCTAAGGTAAAGTTTCTTAACTCCTCTGGGCTTCAGTTTTGTATATGTACAAAATTACATTCAAGTTTTGAAACTCAAGTTTCTCAAACTCAAGTATGAGTCTGTGTAGAGCTCTGAACTCTATACCATGTTATTAACAAACAAACAAAATTAAACATGAAAAGGGAAAATACAACAAAGTAGCTACATATTCTCAAGCATCTAGTTATTGCCCTTATAATACTTTCCAAATCACATGCAATTAACACTGAGGTACTGAAGATAGCTTAATTAGTCCTGTCAGTTAATCATGCATCAATAAAATTAATTTTGTTATTTACGTTTTGTTCTCAAATTTAATTTAGCTCCTTTGCAACTGTGCAGTGACTTTTTTTTTAAAGATCTACTTGTAAGGTACCAAATTTTACTAAGTCAACTTTACTAGTTATCCTTATTTTTGGCTCCCCTAGCCTAAGACTAAATTTTACACTGTTATTTCATTTATTGACTAAAATTTGCAACGTAAAATGACCTAACATTGCATTTTTTTGGCCTCAAAATGTTTGAAATTAATATTGCCAAACTTGCTTTGCATTTACTTTTCCCTGATATGACTCTGTGTACTCATTATATTTATTCATTTCAACTCTCCATTGGTTCCTATCACTAAATCATTTGCTAAGGTAAAGTTTCTTAACTCCTCTGGGCTTCAGTTTTGTATATGTACAAAATTACATTCAAGTTTTGAAACTCAAGTTTCTCAAACTCAAGTATGAGTCTGTGTAGAGCTCTGAACTCTATACCATGTTATTAACAAACAAACAAAATTAAACATGAAAAGGGAAAATACAACAAAGTAGCTACATATTCTCAAGCATCTAGTTATTGCCCTTATAATACTTTCCAAATCACATGCAATTAACACTGAGGTACTGAAGATAGCTTAATTAGTCCTGTCAGTTAATCATGCATCAATAAAATTATTTTAATATTAGCATGCTATATCTAAAGTTAAATCTTTCAATGACAAATTTGAACAGAATAAGAAGTCTAATCACAGGTTAACATTAGAAATATTTGTCTTAAAAAAAAATCAGTACATTAAAAATCCGACAGTGGCCAAGTGTCATCATTAAAATTCTTTTTACTGTTCCTTTAGTGAAACTTAAATATTCCCAAAGTCTCAAATCAAATGTTTATTTCCTTATTTTCCAACAGCTGTGATTTGTCTTCTTTCGGTCTATTCAGTAGAAAGTGAACTATCTGAAGTAGAACATCATCGTTAAAACCTTTCACATCGTTATCTTCTATTGTTTCATAAAGAGGTTTACTTTGTGTTCCCCAACATATATTTTTACGAGGGTTATTTTGATCAGCTTGTGCTGTCAGTGCCAAAGTATTTAACTGGTAGCAGAAAAAGGAAAAGTATTTTCCATCTGTGATCACGCCTTGTGAGACAAAGGGTCGAGTAACATCTGCTTCACTCCAGAACCCTATAAAAGAAAAGTAATGCTGATGTTTATACAGAATATTTTGACAAAATAGAGCAAGTAAATATATGAGATGTAAGTATACATATCAAACGCCCGTTAAAACCTAGATAGTCAATCTACCAAAAACTCCTGAAGGTCTTAAAGTTTCTCCTGCTCTCCTTTCTAACCCTTTATTTCACTTCTGCACCAATACTTACTTTCACCCTTCTGTTATCTCCAAACTCACGATACATTTTTGTCAATAACTTTGGTCTTCGACAGCTTTCAATTTTAACTTGCTTCATGTACAAACTTCTGCAAGCTCTATGCAGATCACTCTTACCTCTGTTCCTAAGTATATCAACTCTGATTTACAATATGTTCAAATTGCCCCATTCTGGCAGCAACTACCAACCCAATAACCATTTTGACTATTGACTTCACCAATTACCTCTCAAATGTCAGGGAAAAAAAAAACCTATGTAAGGATTTCAAGAATTTTCTTACAATAAATTCAGTGTCTTTATATGTTTCAAAATTGGTTTTATAAGTTGCTGTCATTTTTCTCAGTGTGTCTTATGTCATAAGGTTCCAGGACACCTTAATATTGTGATTATTACCCAAATTATGACTAGCTTTAATTCTTTTAAAACCAAATGCCAAGGCCATTGTGGCAATATTGTTTCTCCACACATAGTTTATCATCTCCATTCAATGGAGACAGCCAATAAATAATACTGTTAAAATATGACAGTAATTCAACTGTAAAATAAAGTACTTTGTCTTTCATGAATAAACAGTGCCATTCTAACATCTTTAAGAAAGTTACATCTTTTTTCTGACTCTACTATTCCTACTTTCTCCACTCATTTCTATTATAGAAATGTTAAGAAAAAAATTGTTAAGTATAGGGGACCAGCAGTCGGTATAATGGCTATGTCACTGGACTCCCATATAGTCAACCATGGTTCGAGGCCTGGACCTGGTGGTTTAACTCATGCTAGGTGCATGTGCGTGCATGCCCAAGATCCTGAGAGGAGAATGGAGAAGGGACTACAGCATGGCCATCCCCCCGGGGCATGTTTTCTCATTTTCTGTCTGTCTCTCTCTATCTTTCTGGTGAGCACACGTGCCCTATAGCGAAAACCTCTCAAAAAAACAAACAAAAAAATATAAGTGTAATGATAAAATACAATTATATAAAGGAAAAAGGTGAGCCTAGTAATAATAAAAGCTGCATTACAATTCTTGGATATTTGTACATCTATATTGGATTGCATATAGATCATTCTACACTACTGACAATTGTGGAATAAAACCTAAACCAGTTCATGACGGGCTCTTTTTAGAGCCCATCCTATATGATATAACCTCTGGCTTCCTCCATCTCCTTCTCCAGCATTCTTCACAGACTTTCTTCATCAGTCTTCAAGTCATTCCTTCACTACTTTAAGCTGTTCTCACCTCAAAGACTTGTTTTAAGAATTATTTTACTTAACCTTATTTATTTATTTCTTTAAATTTGACCACAGAGAAAGAGAAAGTAAGCAAGCCGCCAGGTCAGGGACTAGAACCACAGTTGGCTATGTGGGAGTCCAGTGCCTTTAACCACCACACTATCTGCCAGCAGCCCCCCTCTACCTCAGAAACTTTTATTTTCCATTTCTTTGGCTGGAAGCATTTTCCCCCCATATTTGTGCAAGGACAGCTCCTCACCATTTAGTTGTCTGTTCAACAGTCACTTGATTTTAGATACCTCATTTGAATGAACCTATTTAAATAGATTCCAACTCCCATTTCATATATACCCAAATCCCCCATAAGTCATTATATCCCATAGTCTAGCATAATCACTGGCAAAAAAACAGAACATGCCTATTTTCTTTTACTTTTCAGCTACAACATAAACTCCAGGGAAGCAGGATCTGTGTGTCTCATTCAACACTGTATTTCCAAAGCCAACAGTGCCTGGGATACAAAAAGCATTCACTACATACCAAGTGATGAACAATTTCCTAATCCAAATCCTGTAAATAACCTTAAAGAAATAACATAGGATGGTCATAATTTAATCTAAATATGTTGTCCACCAACTCATTTCCTTTATACCTTCAAATGTTATTACCATCTACAAGGAGTGGATTTAGCTGGCTATAGTCCTTTTTTTTTTTTTGGAGAGGTTTTTGCTATAGGGCACATGTAGGGCACGTGCGCTTGCCAGACAGACAGAGATAGAGAGACAGAAAGTGAGAAATCGCCCCCCAGGGGGGATGGCCATGCCGTAATTCCTTCTCCTCCATTCTCCTCTCAGGATCCTGGGCACACACGCACACGTGCCCGGCGTGAGTTTAAGCCACTGGGTCCAGGACTCGAACCGCAGTCAACTACGTGGGAGTCAAGTGACATAGCCATTATGCTAACTGCTGGTCCCAGCAGGCTATAGTCTTTACAATACTTATGAAAACCATTAGAAAACAGTTTATTCACACAAGAAGTGCTCAAAGAAAAAGATCAAAATAACTACCGAGCATCACTTGTATATTTTAGACATAAAATATTTAATAATGGACTTTAAGGTAACTGTATTTTGTCTTAAAGTATTTTGTGCCAGCATAAACATTTTTAAAATGTTAAGATTTAACACACATTTTAAACCAAGGAAACAATTTGAACTACTAAATTCTTAAAATGTCAAAGAACAACAGTCATAAAACCAGGTTTACCTTGATACATAGCTTGTGCTCCGGTCCAAGCAAAAAGGCTGGCAATAGCATTAGCTCTAAAAACAACTTCTATCTGGTCAGCACAATTTTGTTTCAAAAGCTTTTCTCTTTTTAATTTGTCAGATAACAGATGAAACTGGGTGTGACCATAACAGCATGGGTCTGCTGTTTTCGAGCCTGGAGAGTGAAATAAAAATGTTTCCAATGAAATACGCACATAAAACATCTGGAGTACATGTTTTATAGCATTTGCTTCAAACCCATCCTTCTTCTTTATACATCACGTGCTAAGCACTCAAATACAAGAGAATATTAGTTTACTTATTTATTTTATTGATTATAATAAGAGTTACATTTCACATGAAGGCCAACCCATGGCATAGTGATAAGGTGTTATGCAGAGAAAAACAGATCCCACATGGCTAACAGAGGTTTAAATCCTAACTCCATCACTTCACCATAGGCTAGCCACCTTGCCCAAGATTCTAACTGGATGGAGAATTGGAGAAAAAGTACTGCAGTGTGATCAGAGCCCACTAGGGGGAGGGCCAATATTTTCTCTCACAGGCATGTGTGCATGTGCTCCCTGCTGTGAATAATAATAAACTGACATAAATTTACATATTAGAATTGCTAAATCTACTCCTTCTCTTAGAGCTTATTATGACAAAAATAAGTTTAAAAAATGTGAAACTTAGTTAAAATTCTTTATTACTTCAGCTTTCTTGCACTTTAGTCATCTTTACTTTTGTTAATCTCCTTTTCATATCTACCAGAGAATACAAATAGTTATGACTTTAATCTTTTCATTATTTTTCCACTACATTTCTAAGTAAAGAAAATAAGGAACAGTATTTCATGGAATGCTGACATTCTTGCTTTTAATGATTGTCTTTCAATAAAAAGTTCTCCACAGGTTATTCCCTAAGATCAGTGTATGAATAGGGGGCTGATACATCAGGTCTGAAAGACTAGCATGAAGCTTTCTCAAAATCTTCCTCAAATAAGCTAGGAATTAATAAAAGAAGAAAAAATAGCAGAAGAATAAGCTGCACGAGGGCAGAAGTCAAGCCTTCTCAATTTTTGAATTCCTAATGGTTATCACCATGTGTGACACAAATGGGATACTTCGGCCAGAAAAGCCAATTCCTATCTCAAGTACAGTCTTAGACATTTCTACTTCTGGGAAAAAAAAAAAAAATTACTTTTTCTATATGTAAATCAACAAAATCTATTATACAAATATAACTGTTAAAGTTAAATACTGATTTGGTAGAAGCAAGTAAAATTTCAAAAGGTAAGGTGAAAGTATATTATTTCCAATTTTCATGCATGTGGCAATAACCCAAGATTTGAGTTACATTACAACTATCTGAACAACTTGAGTCATCAATATTTTCATTATACTTAATGAACAAAATTTACATTTTATGTAAGACATTTTGAATACATATATTTAAACACAATTCATCAGAAGAAAAGCTTACCAATAAATATGTTGTTTTCGTATTGCCGTTTGAATAATGGAAGTTTGTCTGGTTTACATTTCATAACAGGGATCTCTATAGGAACAGAATAATCCAATGGCACAAACTTAAAGGAAAAGAAAAGACTTAGTCAATTCACTGCAACATTGGTATGTATTTTACTCACATTCTTTTTAGATTTAAAAAAACTTAAAATGAGAAACCAGCAGTTGGGAGTCGTGGCTATGTCTCTGGACTCCCATGTAGTCAACTGCAGTTAGAGTCCTAGACCCCATGGCTTAAACTCAAGCCAGGCTCGTGTGCGTGCGTGTCCAGGATCCCGAGAGGAGAATGGAGGAGAAGGGACTGCATTGTGACCATCCCCCCTGGTGGGTGATTTCTCAATTTTTGTCTCTCTGTCTCTGTCTTTCTGATGAGCACACATGCCCTATAGCAAAAAAAAAACTCTCAAAAGAAACAAACAAACAAAAAACCTTAAAATTAGGTTTGTATAAAATGATTTCATATACTACCACCTAATGATGAGCTAAATCCAGTCAGCCACTTATTACTTTTATTTATTTATTTTTTTTACAGACAGTTTTGTTGAAACAGCCAGGCACACTAATTTACATATTGTGGATGGCTTTTACACTATCAGCACATAGCTAAATAGTTCCAACTAGGCTTAGACCCTCACAGCCAAAATATTAACCACCAGGCATTTACGAAAAAGTGGTCAACCCTTGACATGGAAACACAGACCATACTCAAAATACTCTTGTTTTTCTTTAAAAGAGCTACAAATATATAAAATGACCCAACCCCTAACTGTAGCAATCCCTTGATGTATGACTAGCTAGTGAAGTGTACTGTAGTTTATAATCATAAACCTTAGTGAGCAATTCAGATTATGATTATGAAAATAATAAGATTAGTATGGCCCTGCAAATCGATGCCTTAGCCTCTCTTAAAATGATTGGTTGTTCTTTGCAGCATATACCATTGCAAATTTAAAAGCTAAAAACGTTTCAGATGTGATGTCTTCAAAGACAACCTGAAAAGGCAAGAGAACCACCTAAAATATTTTGTAACACAAACCCACTACCTAGTCTGCTATGACTTTTCCTATATCAGAAGTTAATAGATACATATGCAATAAATTCTTACCTCTGAGAGTTGCTTGGATATTCGAATCTGGTTGTGTGGCTTATCATTTATTTGGTATCGCAGAGCATCAACATGACCTTTTCGATGACCTCCAGGAATAATTTCTTCACCTCGCAACCAGTAAAAGTGAACTGGACGTTTACAATCTATCAAAAGAGTCAAAATTTTCTCATTTGATCATTTAGTTATTATTGGTTACTTGTCCATTATTAGTTAGCTATTATTAGTTATTTCATTTATTATGAGCAAACTTAGCAATAGACAATTTAAGAATGTGTCTAAATATATATCAAAATTATTCTGCTAGTCTGGGTCGCATGATAAGTTAACTTTAATTATTATAACTTACATATTGTACAATGCTCAAACATGTATTGTCTACTTGTTTAAGCATTATGCTGAATACTGTAAGCAAAGAGGTTTCTCAGTTAAAAATAATGAACATTAAAAGTAAGATGAAAAGGATTACCACTCACAGGGGATAAAAAAGTTTCACAGGATGAAAGCTGTCTTATGAATTAATTTAATCATCACAATAACTCTCAAAGGTACATACAATTGTCATCATCTCTGTCAGAGAAAACTGTGTCTTAGCAAAGTTGGGTATGCTTTCCTTGGCCTCCACTATAAGCAAAGTCCATGATATTTTTCTCTAGACCACTTCCTTATCAACTGAGAAAGGGAAGTGACATGCAGGCTACACAGCTCAGTTGAGAATACAACTAG